GGGCAAGAAAAAAAATCAGAAAAGTGGGGCAATGAGAAAATGGAGCAACCGGGATGGGAAGTCCATTTACTAAAGTGTGACCCTGGACCAGCAGCATGGGGCTCCTTTGGGATCTGGGAGCACTGTTTCAGATCCTTCCTTAGAAACCAGGCATAGAGAGATGTTCACTCCAAGCTAGCGTGCTGAGACAGAATGCTCAGAGGGAGATCAAAATGCTGCTGTAGTGTCATAAAGTGGGAGGACAGTGAGGCATTTCCAAGGTAAAACGTGCAGTCCAGAAAGCCCCAATAGTTCTTAGAGGGCTCCCCCAGGATGGGCACACAGAGGGTACTTAGTAAATGCTCACTGAATTGACAAAGATTGGGCCTTAGTGATCTAAATTGAGTTTACCCAGCTAATTTTGATCTGAGAAAGTAGGCATGTTTATTGGTCCTGGTCTGTAGGGAAAATCAAGAGTATGGCGATAGGACATCTACTATCCCCTCTCTTCCTGCCTTCTGAGAAACAGCTTGGTCTAGGGGGGAAAGCCAGGCTTGCATGTATGAACATGTGTTCTTATTAGTGTGTGAGTTTAAGCATGTCACAAACTCTAAGCTCCCATTTCCTTGTCTACAGAAGGACGATAATCATTACCTACAGATGTTTTTGCTGAGCACTGTAGCACCAGCTCTCAGTATGTATGGTATTTGACATGCAATATGTTGAATAAGAATTTGTTAAACAAAAGGAAGGAAGGGAGAAACAAAAGGAGGAAGACTGGTTGATTTTTGTGAGGTTTATATGACATAATACTTTGAAAACTGCTAGCACAATGGTACATAGATATTCTGTAAGTAGTATCATTATGATGAGGAGGAGGATGTGACGTGATCATGAAGAATGGATTCAGGAAAAAAGCCTCAGTGTCTGGCACAGGGCCCATGTTCTTACTGAAACTAGGCCTGCTCTTCCCGTCCCACTTCCCTTTGCAATCCAGTGGCTATCTTATCCATTCGGGCAGCTATAACAAAATACTGTAAGGTGGGTGGCTTATGAACAAGACAAATTTATTTCTCATAGTTTGAGGCTGGGAAGTCCAAGATCAAGGCACCAGGAGATTCGGCATCTGGTGAGGAACTGTTTCCTGGTTCATAGATGGAACTTTCTGGCTGGGACCTCACATGGTGGGAAGGAAGGTAGCTCTCTTGAGCCTCTTTCATGAGTGCAATAATCCCATTCACCTAGCACCTCCCAAAGTCACCCCTCCTAATACCACCACACTGGGGATTAGGCTTCAACACATGAATTTTGCAGGGACACAAACATTCAGACTGTAGCAGTTACTCTACTTTCCAGCTGTGCCTTAGGGGGCACCTCACTTTTGGCTGCTGAGCCCATAACCTTCAAGTTCAGTGCATCATAGGTAGTTGCTATAGTTTGGATATGATTCGTCTCCACCAAAACTCATTGAAATTTGATCGCTAATGTGGCAGTGTTGAGAGGCAGGACCTAGTGGGGAGGTGTTTGGGTCATGGGGGTGGGTTCTTCATGAATACGTTAGATTAATGCCCTCCCTCAGGGGTGGGTGAGTTCTTGCTCTGTTAGTTCCCCTGAGAACCGGTTGTTAAAAAGAGCCTGGCACTTCTCCTTTCTTCCCTCTCTGTCTTGCCATTCTATCTTCTTTCACATGCCGGCTCCCTTTCCATGTTCTGGTGGAAGCAGCCTGAGGTTCATGACAGATGCAGCTGCCCCAGCACCACGAGCCAAATAACCCCCTTTCCTTTATAAATTACCTAGTCTCAGGTATTTGTTATAGCAACACAAAATGGACTAAAACAGTAATGAAGATGTTTTCAGAACTAAAATGAACTACATGGGTGTGACCGTGACTGAGGGTTGTTGGTGGTGGTTGTTCCACACTGGAGAGACCCATTTTTAATCCCTTTAACTAAGGAATTATTGTTAATTATTTTATGTTGTTTTATATTTGGGATAGGTAATTAACCCTTTGGTTAACACGTTTGCCTCAGGGTCAAAGTAAGCATTTTTAGAAACACCCCTCACTCCCATATATTATTAAGTTATAGAAATACTGTTAGTTGCCTTCTTTTATGTGATTAAAGGGATGCTTTCACCTCCAGAATACTTGGCTATTTTCTGCCTTTCTTTAACCATCCCTCCCTCTTTCCTTTTTACACCAGTACAATGACCAACCTGCCAACACAATAGGCAGTTCAGGAGAGAATCCGGGAATGGTATTTATTAAATTTGCTGAGAGTCCTTGGTTATCAGTTCTTCTCCAAAGAACATGGGTTTTGGGGGTTAGACCTGAGTTCAAATCTCAAATCCACCTATTATCAATTTTGTGACCTTGAGCAAACTACTAAATCTTTCTAAGCTTATATTTCCATATACATTATATAGGAATCTTGTGTGGATTAAATAAAATAACATTTGCAAATGTACCTACAATAAACATACAACAAAAATTCATTTCCTTCTTTCACTAGCATGTTGAGCAGATACACGCAAGAGACAGAGCCTACTGAAAGAAGTAGGTTCATTCCCAGGCCTAAGACTGAATCTTGGATATAGGGAAGTGTGGATAGGACAGGTTTCTGCTCAATGAGCCACACTGCTCTTTCTCACCATATGAAAGAATTAGAGTTTGGGAAGTATTGTTCTATAACTTTGGGTCAGCTGTAATGAAATCACGGGGAAAGGTCCTTTCAATCTCCTTGACAAAAATGGAGTATCATTCTTTTCCGCCATGTGGATTTTGATTGCAGGTATAACAATAAAGAAAGGAAGGGGTCTAGAGTTTGAAAAGTCACTAAGATGAACAGAATAATCTTCCTTTGGAATGTTGTCAATATAGGGAGAGAGTGGCTTCCACGCTGTTTTGTCTGACTAGCACAACAATGGAAATTGATGCTCATAAACACAACCAGTTACCCATTGTGTACCATAAAATGAGCAACCTTCCAGCCCTTGAGTTAAACAGAAACAACCTAGTGGGTATTTGTGCCCAAGAAGAAGTGAAAGAAGGCTACTACCAGGGATGTTGTCCTGACTTAAACATTGTTCTCCATTCATTGCCTTTTGTATTTTTTCCATGCAGACCAGAACAGACCCACTTTAGCAATAAAATAATAGTTGGTTTTTTCCATATTGGTATCATTAGGCTTTGTTAGTTCTTGAAACATTTCTTAAGAGGCTCTGTAAACAGTCCTTATTATGTTATAATGCTGTGGCCTCATTGAGCTAGCATGGAAATAGAGCTTCGTTTCTGGCTTCCTGTACCTACAGCCTGCACAGCCTCCAAACCAGGCCAGAATTATAGGAAGAGACTGAGCGAGGAAATCCATGGAGAAACAGGCAGAAATGAAGTTCCTGTAGGGTTTTAATTTCAGAGACAAAATTGAAAGTAAGCTTGCGGTATGACTCAAATAACTGTTCCATGTGACTTCATGTTTATTCACTTCTTTGATTCAAAGCCAATAAGTGAAATGTGGAATTATCACTAGAGGCAGGGGCCAGGCATTCTGGTGACGTTTGCTATTAAAACCACCTGAGACAGAATTAGTGTTTGACTTCCTGGGTATAAGACGAATTGTTATTTTTAGGGCTCCTCTCTGGACCACAGATCAGCAACCCTTTAGCAGGGGAAAGATTACCAGTACTTGCCATCTTCTCTCGTTGGCATTTGATCTACTAAGCACATCTTGTTCAGATTGTAGTGATTTTTATCTTCACCTAAGAGAGGAGCACACTAGAGCAGGCTGGGACCAGTGGGCTTTCTAGTCTCAAGAGGGCAGCATCAACTATTGCCAATAAATAGGGTTTTGGCAAAGACATATAATAAGGTTTTAAACAAGATGCCATTGAGTCATATACAGTCTACTGGCTTATACCAGATCAGAAAGTCAAAGGCCAGATGCCCTAGGTAGTAGATTGTATGGTTGCCCCCCAAAAGGTGTGTCTATGTCAAAGCCCTGGACTCTGTGAATGTGACCTTATTTGGAAAAAGGGATTAAGTTAAGGATACTGAGATCTTAGAAGATCATCCTGGATTATTCAAGTGGGCCATAAATCCAATGACAAGTGTTCTTATAAAAGACACACAAAATAGAGAGACACAAAGAGAAGAGGAAGAGTAAAGACAGAGACTGGCATGATTCCGAGGAATGCCAGGGATCGCCAGTTACCACTTTCAGCTAGAAGAGAGGCGTGGAGTGGATTCTCCCCCAGTAACCCTTGGAAAGAGCATAGCCCTGCTGGATTTTGGGTTTCTGGCCTCCAGAACTGTGAGAAAATAAAGTTATATATATACTGTTGTAAGTCACCCAGCTTGTGGTAATTTGTTACAGCAGTCACAGGAAACTAATGTACCATATGCTGGTGATGGTTTGGGGCTTGGGGTGTGGCCCATATTCCTAAGGAGATTCTCAAAGAAAGAGGTTTTCTGTGGTTAAAAAAAAAAAAAAAAAATCCTGTGTTTGGTTCTTTGTAGCAGTGCTATAGGCATGTTTTATTTTTCTATATAAACTCTAATCTCCCCTTTTATTAATATGCTAGAGGAAAAAAAAGAAAGAGCCCACTTCTGTCATCCTCTCGTAAAGAAATTTACTATTATGGGCAAGGGACTAGCTTTCTAAACCAATACTGGGAGCTTTTCCATTCCCTTTCCTTACGTGCCTGTCACTCAGATGGCCCCGTCCAAGGTGTCAATCATTGCATTACATGTTTGTTTGTTTTCTGAAGCTAATCTTGCCATCTTAAGCTTTCTCAGCTTTGCTTCTCTGCACTGAAGGCAGGAAGAGAATATAACGTAGGAAAGGTTGTACATTTCTTGTTCAGTTATCTTACCTACCAAAATGGAAACCCTCTAAATCTCATCTCAACCTTAACAAACCTTTGGTTTACAGGAAGCACAGTAGCTCTACGAGAGAGATCGACTTCAGCTGTGCCTTTCAGAGGCTCTGAAATATCAATTTTTAAGTTAGCCAACACACGAGATGAATTTTTTAACTACCATTTTATTTCTGTCCAGTCCAAGGGACAATTTAGAGGAGGTTCTATTCTAAGTACATAGCCAAGGAAGTGTGGAAGGGCTGTTGGTGCCGTTGTTTTGAAGATAGCCTGTCAGTCATCCTGATTGAAACATAACCCCGATGGCTTCTGTAAGTGTAATAAAATGCTTCACAAAAGGCTGAAGAACTGTAGGATGTAATAAAGTCTGCTTAGCTTCATTTCCAATGCCGCAGAGTCCTCGAGAACAAGGCCCATTTCCTTATGCCTTGGGATTTGTTTGAGTTACTTTCTTGCCTGGAAATGATGGAACATAAAAACATTCAGTTAGAACCGATAGCATTTTTTGAGTCATGACAATAAACAAAATATGTTTGTTTACTGTTAATCTTTTAGATTGCCATTAACATTTTCCAGGAGGCAATATTGATGCAGGCAGATGACATGAAATAGATGGATTTCACCCTGCTGATGCCTGTACTCACTCCCTGGATCCCCATGTTTCCCGTGGCCTCTGCCCACAGCCCATGCCACCAGAGGTCAGCTGCATGGTCTCTTAAGAGTCTGTGTTATCAACACAGAGCTTACATACAAACGAAGCCAATTCAGACCTTTATTAATTACCCAAGAATGGGTTCCCAAACATAGCCATTGTCTGAATTACCTTCTGAGCTTGTTAGAAACTCAGATTTCTGGACTCTGTCCCCCAAATTCTGACTTAGCAGGTCTGGATAAAGTCCCAGGTATCTGTTTTTTAACAAGTTCTCCTCATGAATTTGAGGTGTTTGGCCCCTGAATTTGGGGAATTATTGAACTAGGGCATAGCAGGCAAAAATCAGCTTTGCTTCAAAGCCAAGATACCTTAAAGATTTGGGTGAGGCCCAAAACAATTTCCACTCATAAAATAGGAAAGTGAGGGGAAAGTCCTATAATCTTATTTGGCAAAAAAAATCAGAAACTTTCTTGGAAATGTAGTGGGGTAGTGGCCCAGATCCAAAACAGGGGGGCACAGAAATGCATTTATAGCTCTGATCCCACCTCCTCTGTTGAAGCCTTAGCTTCTGGGCCTTAATTTTTGGTATCAGTAAAACGGGTGTGGTCAGGAACTGGGCTAGCAGGAGCTACGAGCTTGGAGGACTTTTGAAAGGACAGAGTTACAGGAGAGAGAAAATTAAATAGGAGGCAGCGAAAAATGAAAGCTTCATGGGTTACACGTCATAAAACTGGGGAAGATTGCAAGAAAGGGTGCTAGGAGATGTTTGGGGTAGCTACCACGGGTGTGATGTATGAAGAGATTTTGACAAGCATTATTGAGAAGCACAAACAGACTTCCCCTTCAGTGTTTTCAAGAGATTTCAGTGGAGATTTAAGTTGCTTTTCATTTATTGTTTTCTGCTTGTGGCTTTGAGTGCAGCCCTGCAGATGCAGACCTGGGGAGCTGAGCATGCAGCCCCGGCTCCCTGCTTGTTTCCAGCGTGTAGTACAATCCCTGATGGGGGCCCATTCAGCCCCCCCTTGGTGAGGACACGCCAGCACACGCTTCAGCCTCTGTTACACAGAGGTTTTAGTGAGTCTAGCACTACACTTTTCCAACAAGTTAGTAAGAAAGAGAGCAAAGGACAGGGCATCCCTTTGGAATTACATCTGGTCCCTTTTGGGAACCAGAAAGACACTGAATAACTTCTGCTTCTAACCTACATCAGGAGGCCTCTCATCTGAGCTCAGGATCCACTACCCCGACCCCAAGCCCACTGATGTCTGTAAGTGAGGGGTAAGGAATGGGGTATATACACCAGTCAATTTGGTCTTCTGGAGAAGGGGGCCTGTCTCATTCTTATATGATATTGGGATCGTCCCCTATTGTGCCGACACCACCCACCTTGACTGGAGATACAGGTCATCTTCTGATCATTCATCATTGCCCTTGTCCTTGAACAATTATTGAATTTGAGTCAGAGGCACCTGTGCAGGCCTGAAAATGGATGTGCCCTTTCTTTTCCTCCGCCTCGCCTGTCTAGGGCAGATTTATTTCCTAGGTTCCCCTCGGTTTTATTTTTGGTCTTCTGAACGTGTGGCCTCGTGTTACTTTCCACACCAGCCCTGTAATTTCTGAGTCTCGGCGATGCCTCCATCCGTACCTGAGGAGGTGCTCTGTCAGTCTACTTACAGCGTTTCTGTGACTCGTCCGTCACACAGTTTTGACACCCACGTGTCTGCTTCATTTCTCAAAGCTCTGTCTTCAGAGTCTCATTTCCCTACCAGCTCAGAAGCTTGAGGGAAGCAGAGTCCACCTTTCGTGCCAGGGCACACTGGGTAAACCAGCCATCATTTACTAGCTGCGTGTCTCTAGGAAATGTGAACACGCTTTGTTGGTGCAGAGAGGCCTGAATGGGTCAGTACACATGAAGCACTTACAGCCATGCCTAGCGCATCGTCGTGCTCACTAAACATTAGCCTCTGTTCTTGTCATTGTCATTATTTACTCCTTGTATTGTACTGCCAGTCAGAGAAACTCACGAGAGCCAAAGCAAGTAAAAACTCAGGTCTCAGGGACACGGTGGCAGTCTCCACCTTCTTATTGGAGCAGGTGCATCCGGGCGCTGCCCTCCTCTTCCCGTCTTCTAGGTAGATTCATACATAATGCACCCTTCTTCGTAGCTCTTGTTTCCTTTGAGATCACCTTTTGAATAGGCAGTGGTACTGTTCAGTGTTATCTGAGCATATCAACAAAGGGATTTACTGAAATGCAAGGAAGTTTCTGAGGAGGATGCAAAGAGGTGAATAGTTACATCTTCAAGGTGCTTCCAACCTATCTAGGAAAACACTTTGCACAAAGTGAGGCAAGTAGTAGATAACCAGGTGTCGGGTGGGCAGAGAACAGAGACAGCAGGAGCCTAGTATGCCCACATTTTGACTGATCCCGATGAACATATATGCTTTTCAATCTTCAATTATTTACTTATTTATTGGGGGCTGGATGGTAGGCTGGCTGGTACAGGGATCAAACCCTGGACACTGGTGTTAACAGCACCACGCTCTAACCTACTGAGCTAACTGGCCAGCCTTCTTAATCTTCAATTATTTCTAAGTCCCTAATAGACATTGTGGCAGATTAACTGCCCCTCCTGGTTCCCCACCACCACCACCAAGGGCATGCTGGAGAAATAATAGGTAGTAGCAGTGTGAAGTTCACTATCAGGGGTTTGTTTGGCAGGGTAGTGAATAACAACAGAAGAGAAGCTCCTCTGCTGTTTTGAAGAGTAGAAGAGATTTTTGGAGAGGGCAGTTTTGAATTTGGAAGGAAAATTACAATATCTGGTGGAGGAACTTTAAATAAGTTTTTGAGTAAGATTTGCTGTGTGGCACGGGCCTTCTCATCCACTTCTCCCTGAAACCAACAGCAAAGTCTTAACCTGGTTTGTGTTTTGTTGTATGATTTAGAGGGTGAAAGCAAGGTACCAAAAGGGTCCCACCTGGGGTCTGAACTGAACCACACTGACTCCTCCTTGAATATTCAGGTGCCATCAGGCTCCAAGTCTTTCTCCACAGCCTCTGTGTACATTCAAGGCAACACCGTTTTACTAAATGTACAAATGAAGGAGGCTCCTGTGTCCTTCTCTGTCCTCCCCCCCCCCATACTCCCACAGACCCAGCACAAGAGAGCCTCTTCTGCTTTAAAGCTAAGAAAATAGATCAATGTCTCTCTGTTCTGTAGGTAAAACTAGCCTGGGAGCTGCCCACAGTCAATGTAACTTGATAGAGTGTGAGAGGAAGGTCTGGAACCACAAAAACTCAACAGGCCTTCCTTCCATTTCTTTAAGGCAGTATTTTCAACTTGGCTGCTCACTGGAATCATCTGGGGAGGTAAGAAATGCCAAGCTGCCATCCCACCCCCAGAGGTTCTGATCTGACTGATCTGGAGCATGGCCTAGGTCTCTGGAGGGGAATCACTGAATGTAATGATGGTGAACTCCAAGCCCGTCTTCCCCTTGATGCCGTTCCAAAGTGTGCTCCCTATACAATGCTGCAGATGCCCAACAGAAATCCAGATGCTGGGCAAGGTTTCAGTAGGTTTCTGCTGCAAATATTCAATTTCAAGTAAGGCGGTCTGTCTTCTGTACTCTTAGAAGAACCACGTGAATGGGACAATTGTCCTTCAAGGGTAGTGCTCCTTGCCCAGGAAGTTAATAAAATGTCCTGTTTTGCATCCATACTGGAACTGACACAGATGTAGTTTTAAAATGAACTAACCACACTCACCAACAAAACAGTCCTCAGACACAAACATAAAATTTCTCTTTAACAACTCTCTTCTTTTAAAAGTAACTCTTCTTAGTTCCTAGCAGGCTAGAGATACAGGCAGAGGCAGCCACAGAGAGTCATTCTGCTCACACTGAAAACAAGGTGAGCAATTTTCTAAGGGCAGGCCCTCTTGACCTCTGCTTTTCAGTTTTTTTCTTAATAAACTGATCTCAGAAATTGTACCACAAAAGCTGCTGGTGGCAATCTCTTAGAGTAAGTGGGTAAAGGAGAAGCTGAGTGAGAAACGGCAAGGATCAGAGAGCTTCTCTGATGAGTGTCTCTGAGGCAATGCAATTATACTTCCATCTAGAGATAGGAAGGGGTTACCCCCAAGTGCAGCAGCCAGAAGCCCAGCAGTGTGTGGAAGGACTCAAGGGAGCAGGGCAACTTTCCAGCAAGTTTGCTAACTCAAAACTATTCCTCCGTGGCATGTTGTACATGCCGATTAATAACACGGCTTCCTGCAAGGAGAAAGCGTTAATTACCTTCCCATTAAAGAGGTCTGTTTCCCAATCCACTGTATTTACCCCTTTGAGGACACAAAGTAGAATGCAGCTCTGGACAGCATGTGGCCAGTCCCCTAGGGATGGAAGGTGCAGACATCTGTTCCACAGAGAGGTTGGGGCTCACCCATAGCTGTCATTTATAAAGTGACCACAGACTCAGCCTTGTCAGTTTTCTCTTTAAAGGGATAAATCAAACACTAAGAACAGCAAACACACAAGAAAGATGATCACGAAGCTTGTACCTGTAAGGAATTCCTCGGTCCCACAGGGCTTATTACCCTGCAAATGAAAATGCATATGCCTTCGGGCTGACGGTGGGAGCCGGGAGACAGAGAGGGCAAACCCATCCCTGGAAAACACATGCTACTCCTTGGGCATTTTCTTGTTGCCCACTTGAAGCCAGCAAGGCTTCTGTCTTCTGTGTTTGCTGTATTTACATCTCCCTCCCCATGTATGTGCCTAGTAAGACTCCCTTGAAGACTTTCTCCT